TATAAGTATAGGAATGTTTTAACACAGGTATGTTTGAAAGCACCAAGTGCATGACAAATGTAAAGTACTATTTGGGTTATGAAATTCTCTGACATTGCAGTCTCTATTGTGAATTGGCATTTGGATTTGGAAGAGCAACTACTACCATGGGCAAAGCTCTTGTGAAATTACTTGGGAGTTCTCACGTAGCCTAGCTACAGTCTCTGTGGTTTGATTATGCGAGCAGTATGGTTAAATAGTATCCTTGCCATCTTCTCCTCATCTCTAACTCTTCTACCCAATCAACACAAATACTCTGTGGATGTACAGTTTCTGCTATATGCCCTGAAACTTCAAAAAAAACAATTACAGTAATAGTAGTAGTAAAAGTGATGGTTGCTTAACATCTTGTGAGGCTCACCTGACTTAATTTCTGGGATGGAAAGTGATGATAGCCATTGTGTGCCCTTGGCTATTGGTGCGGACTATGAGCTCACGCCAGTATCCACCTTCATGAAATACAAGGCAGGGCTCCAATGGAGACTGTCGAAGGAATACTTCATAGTACTAGGAAGAGAACCGAATTATTACACAAGCAAAACTAGCAAGTTTCACAGCTGATTATTCATGCTAGGTGATGGTTTGCGGCTACACTGTGTCCCCCAAAAACTCCTATGTTGAAGCCTTAACCACCAGTACTCAAAATGTGTCTATATTTTGAGACAGGGCCTTTAAAGAGGTGATTTAGTTAAAATGAGGCAGTTAAGGCAGGCCTTAATCCAATCTCACTGATGTCTTTTTTTTTTTTTGAGACGGAGTCTCACTCTGTTGCTCAGACTGGAGTGCAGTCGCATGGTCTCGGCTCACTGCAACCTCCGCCTCCCGGGTTCAAGCAATTCTCCTGCCTCAGCCTCCTGAGTAGCTGGGATCACAGATGCCCATCACCTAGCCTTGCTAATTTTTGTATTTTTAGTAGACACAAGGTTTCACCATGTTGGCCAGGCTGGTTGCGAACTCCTGACTTCAGGTGATCCTCCCGCCTTGGCCTCCCAAAGTGCTGGGATTACAGGTGTGAGCCACCGCACCATGCCTGCTGTCTTTGTAAGAGAAAATGTGGACACACAGAGACACCAAGGTTGGGTACACAAAGAAAAAGACCATGTGACACAGCAAGAAGGTGTCTATACAAGCCGAGGAGAGAGGCCTCAGCAGAAACCAAACCAGCAGAGACTCTGATCTTAGACTTTTAGCTTTCAGACAAGGAGGAAATAAATTTCTTTAAGCCACTCAGTCTGCCGTATTTTGTAATGGCAGCCCTTGCAGACAAATACAGTGATATAAGAAACATGATTAGGCCGGGCGCGGTGGCTCAAGCCTGTAATCCCAGCACTTTGGGAGGCCGAGAGGGGCAGATCACGAGGTCAGGAGATCGAGACCATCCTGGCTAACATGGTGAAACCCCATCTCTACTAAAATACAAAAAAAAATTAGCCGGGCGTGGTGGCGGGCGCCTGTAGTCCCAGCTACTCGGGAGGCTGAGGCAGGAGAATGGCGTGAACCCGGTAGGCGGAGCTTGCAGTGAGCTGAGATCCGGCCACTGCACTCCAGCCTGGGTGACAGAGCGAGACTCCGTCTCAAAAAAAAAGAAACATGACTGACCGGGCACAGTGGCTCAAACCTGTAATCCTAGCACTTTGAGAGGCCAACCTGGGAGGACTGCTTATGTCCAGGAGTTCAAGACCACCTGGACAACATGGCCTGTCTACAAAAAATAAAAAAAAATAGGCTGGGTGCAGTGGCTCAAGCCTATAATCCCAGCACTTTGGGAGTCCAAGGCGGGTGGATCACTTTGAGGTCAGGAGTTGAGACCAACTGGGCCAACATGGCAAAACCCCGTCTCTACTAAAAATACAAAATTTAGCCAGGCATCAGGGTGGGCACCTGTAATCTCAGCTACTCGGAAGGCTGAGGCAGGAGAACTGCTTGAACCCAGGAGGCGGGTTGCAGTGAGCCGAGATCATGCCACTGCACTCCAGCCTAGGCAACAGAGATTCCATCTCAAAACAACAACAACAACAACAACAACAACAACAATTAGCCAGGCATGGTGACACACGCCTGTAGCCCCAGCTACTCGGGAAGCTGGGGTGGGAGGATGGCCTGAGCCCGGGTGGTCAAGGCTGCAGTGAGCCGAGATCTTACCACTGCACTCCAACCTGGGCAACAAAGTGAGACTCTGTCTCAGAAAAACAAAAAAGAAAGAATCATGATTCCTGCCCTGTGACTTTACAGAGGATGCTATCAATTACATTCCGAACTGTAGGCTCCATGAAGCGAGTCGTTTCCTTAGTCTGACATATGTGTTCAATAAATATTATTGAAAAATTGTATGAATGACTGAACAGGAAAGGTATTCTTACTTAGAACTCCAATTTATTTATGGAAAATAATCTTCCCTTTCTGTGAATTCCTAATGTATTACTAAGCTGCTACGATTCCACTCTTACTTTTAATGTCCTGATATAAGCCAATCATTTCTATATTTCTTCATATAACCGAGTACCAACCTATATAAGCTAGTTCAGATCCTCCATTTCCTCTGGTATATACAAGTCAAATGCAATCCTGATTTAGTTGTTATATCTCAAAAATCCTAAAAGCCAATTGCTGCCATAACAGGAACACCATCTGATTTCTAAGTCTTTTGTTCTCAAAATGCATGTGTTCTGGGTCCACTGTATTTACAAACAAACCACAAATTATGTATAAATGGGGGAATATACCACAAAACAGCGCTACCTGAGAGGTAGATCAATTAAGGTTGTACCTGATCACTCTGCTATAATTTCACATAAGATATCCTTGATTTTACTCAACATAGTTTTTCAAATTTAAGGTTGGTGATTTAAAGAAAGCCTAGTTCCACTGGTGTGATGCCTCCTGCCTGTAATCCCAGCACTTTGAGAGGCCGAGGTGGGCAGATCATTTGAGGTCAGGGATTCAAGACCAGCCTGACCAACATGGCAAAACCCCATCTCTACTAAAAATACAAAATTTAGCCAGGTGTGGTGGCAGGCACCTGTAATCCCAGCTACTTGGGAGGCTGAGGAGGAAGAATCGCTGAACCTGGGAGGTGGAGGTTGCAGTGAGCTGAGATTGTGCCACTGCACTCCAGCCTAGGCAAGAGTGAGACTCAATCAAAAGAAAAATAAAGAAAAGAAAAGAAAAGAGGAGAGGAGAAGAGGGAAAGGAGGAGGAAGAAAGGGAGGGAGGGAAAGAAAGAGAGACAGAAAGAGAGAGAGAGAGAAGAAAGGGAGGGAGGAAAGCAAGGAAAGAAAGAAGAGATGGAGAGGAAAGAAGAAAGAAAGACTAGTTCAACTGTTGTTACTGGCTGGTTAGAAAGGAATGCTTTTTGGAAGCAAAAATATCATATAAAGCCTGGTGCAGTGGCTTTCGCCTATAATCCCAGCATTCTGGGAGGCCAAGGTGGTGGGTGGATCACTTGAGGTCAGGAGTTCGAGACCAGCCTGGGCAACATGGTGAAACTCCTTCTTTACTAAAAATACAAAAATCAGCCAGCATGGTGCCGCACACCTGTAATCTCAGCTACTCAGGAGGCTGAGCAGGAGAATCGCTGGAACCCAGGAGGTGAAAGTTGCAAGGAGCCGAGATCACACCATAGCACTCCAGCCTGGGTGATAGAACAAAACTCTGTCTCAAAAAAAAAAAAAAAAAAAAAAAAATTTCATATAGGCTCTGGAAGGATGGCAATTGAAAACTGAGCTTGACTTAAAGAATAATGGGTAAATATGAAGTACAGCTTCTCCCCTGTATGACCTAGGGCCTTGGTTTCTTCATTGTAAGATGGAAACTGAAACTCCTATTCTTATATGGGAATGCTTAAAGTAAGTATTAAGATTAAAGGGAACTTCTGGTTAAAATAACAGAATATTCCACCTAAAACTCCTACTAAATGAAAGTCCTACTAAATCCTAACTAAATGAAACAAAGGATTAAAAAGGCATAAGCTTATTTAGGTTCATTGTTTCCAACAATTCTCCCTTCTCTCTCCTGCACCATCATTGCCTTCGCTCGTACTGGATCATTCCCATCAATATACTATCAGATGCTTTTACTCTCCCATTTTAAGCAGAAAAAAAGAGGAATCTTCTTGACCTATATTCCCCAACTCTGCTCCTCTTTCTCATAAAACTCATCACAAGAACTGAGCCTATTCACTGCCTCCCATTCTTCTATTCACCCAGCTGAATCAGGTCACTACTACTCTGCGAAACAGTTCACATTAACCTGGTCACATAACATGACCTCCTTGTTATGAAGTCCAATGGTTAACTTTAAGTCCTCACTTCCTTGACCTATCAGCAAGCATTGGGCACAGGTGAAAAGCCACTCCTTCTCTGTTTACTTTCTTCCTCTGGCTCCCAGGGAAACCTTACTCCTGTTTCTTTCTTTTTTTTTTTTTTTTTTTTTTTTTTGAGAAGGAGTCTCACTCTGTTGCCAGGCTGCAGTGCAGTGGTACAATCTCGGCTCACTGCAACCTCTGCCTCCCAGTTCAAGCGATTCTCCCGCCTCAACCTCCTGAGTAGCTGGTACTACAGGCACGCGCAAACAAGCCCAGCTAATTTTCGTGCTTTTTTTTGTTTTTTGTTTTTGTTTTAGTAGAGACAGGGTTTAACCATATTGGTCAGGCTGGTCTTGATCTTCTGACCTTGTGATCGGCCCACCTTGGCCTCCCAAAGTGCTGGGATTACAGGTGTGAGCCACCGACTCCTGTTCTTACAACCTCACTGGACTGTCCCTCTCAGTCTCCTTTACTGGTTCTTCCTCTTCTTCCAAACCTCTTAAAATGGGAGTGCCCCAGGGATTGGTCCCTGTTCCTCTTCACTTTTCTATCTACTCTCACTCCCTTGGTGATCTCTTGCCACCTCATAATTTTTAAATGACATCTACATGCTAACAATTCCTGGATTTCTCTCTCTTGAACTTCAGTCTAATATAGCCAACTAACTACTTAACATATCCATTCAGATGTTTAATAGGCACCTCAAATACAACATGACAAAACTGAACTACTCATCTCCTCCAACCCAAATCTGCTCTACCAGTCTTTCCAGTCTCAGTTGACAGTAACTTCATTCTTCCACTTGCTCTACACAAAACACCGGGGGCCATTTTTGTCATTTTTTTATATTAAGGTATAATTGATACATAAATTTGCACCTGTTTTTATGTATATATTTTGATGAGCCTGGACATATACATATACTTGGGCATATACATATACCAACCCCCACCAGCCAAGGTACTAAACACATTCATTACCTCCAAAAAATGTCCTTGTTGGAGCCATTTTTACTTCTCTTTATTTTTTTGAGACAGAGTCTTGCTCTTGTCACCCAGGCTGGAGTGCAATGGCATGGTCTAGGCTCACTGCAACCTCCGCCTCCTGCATTCAAGCGATTCTCCTGCCTCAGCCTCCCCAGTAGCTGGGATTACAGGTGCCCACTACCACATCCAGCTAATTTTTGTATTTTTAGTAGAGATGG